ATCCTAACTCGCGCACCAGTAAGGCTGCGTTTATACTTTGCGGCAGCGTAGCGTAGCGTAGCGCAGCGTAGCGTAGCGCTTCCAGCGTACGCCAGCGGCAGTGCCGAAGAGAGGATGCATATCGATCTAGCTTCACCAGCGTCAGCGGCACAGCGCGCACGCTGGCGTAGCGAGGGCACGGGAAGCATAGCTATCGATCTAGCTTCACCAGCGTTTCTCGAGCGTTTCTCCAGCGGCACCAGCGTTTTGCTAGCGCTTGCAGCGGCAGGGAGTAGAGACCATGTGGCCGGCAGAGACGCGGAATCGACGTGTATTGTAGAGACTATGGGGCCGTCGAAGACGCAGAAGCGATGTGTGCATTGTAGAGACTATGGGGCCGCGAAGACGCAGAAGCGATGTGCATTGTAGAGACTATGGGGCCGTCGAAGACGCAGAAGCGATGTGCATTGTAGAGACTAAGGGCGAGTGAGATACGCGCAATCGATGTGCTTTGTACCCTCCAGCTCTCCCATAGTCTCTACTCCCCTGCCGCTGCAAACGCTAGCAAAACGCTGGTGAAACGCTGGAGAAACGCTGGCGTACGCTAGCGTGCCGCTAGCGTACGCTAGCGTGCCGCTGGTGACGCTGGTGAAGCTAGATCGATATGCATCCTCTCTTCGGCACTGCCAGCTGCGTACGCTAGGAAGCGCTACGCTAGCCCCACGCCAGCTGCGCTAACGCTACGCTAGCGCTGCCGCAAAGTATAAAACGACAGCCTCAACTGCGACGTGACGCACCCACGTAGTCGCCGTACAATACTACTTTTCAATTACAATGAGTAAAAAAACTTCAGAACGCATCTTATTCTCTGTTTTTTCGCTGTACTGCGGTTTACCATTGAAAGTATAAATTCACGGTGAACCGTTAATTCTAACGCATGTTTGAGCACCGGTAGTCTGATGGAATACACCTCTCCGGAATATGTGAGGCAAGGATTTGAGCGTGAAAGAAGCAAGCGCTTTGCATAGGACCTGGCAAACATGTGAGAACTACTGGGGGAGATCCCAAGTTGTCGAAAGCTAACCTTACGGAAGGAACCAAAGCGCCCAGTCATAACCATTGTGTCGAATTATTTGTGAGTCGTACCTTACTGATGGCGGCCTTTTGGCCTTGTACTGCATTCACTTCACGACTTTCTTTCGATTCATCGTCACAACTGAAGTCGAGTTTTGTCCTCATTATTATGGAGGTCAGCTTAGCCTTCACTTTAGATTCGTCTCTGAAATCAAAATTTTGAATAATTAGGTTGAAGCGCGGACTCGATTGCTTCTTCCTTCAAAGTACGGTAAGCTACCTAGAGATTCTGGGAGCACCCCCTCCCCTCTAATAGCTGTGTAACCAAAAGAATGTACAATTCCAGAACCCACATTGAATGAGCTTCCGCAATGTCAGAGGACGTTATGCATTGCGATATGCTGACCATTTGACCTTTTGGCACCTTCTCTGGAAAGAGTAGGAATAGTCGCGCCTGCAGGGTAGCAATTTTTTTCGGTAAAACTAATAATCTACCGAAATAGTGAGTCAAAAAGGGGTCTCGTAAAACCTCCTTTCCCCGCATAATCTATGCTCATTGCCCGGTTAAACGAAGTATTTTATCCAATGAAGAACACAACATCAGGTCCGAGCAACAGCAGTAAGGAGCTGGAACAGCTAATAAAGTAAGAGGCGTGCAAATGATGTTCCCGATAGGTCTCATACCGCCGCAAGTCCTGTACCGGCAGTCCGTTCAGGAATGCTATCTGCTGATCTGGCGATCTTCATCGATCTGAAAAAAAAAAACAAATATTGCGTGATAAAGTTGGGCGGGTTTGGTGGTTAGGATCGGAAGGAGAGGGGGGAAGTAGCTCTCAAGGTCCAAATCTGTTGAATACCAATCAGTAATCTTGATACCTTCCATACTAGTTCGCTCGCATTTGCATGTAATCTGTAAGTTTCTAAATGACCTTGTCGTTAGGCTGCGTTAGCGTCCACCAGTGTCCATCCGTGACCACCAGCGTCCACAAGCATTTCGAGCGTAAGCCAGCGCCAGTGACTAGGAAGTTATAGATATCGATCTAGCAAACGCCGGTGTCCGTCTACTAGCGTCCATCAGCGTCTCGAGGGACTAGGAAAGTATGGATATCGATTTAGCGAACGCCAACGTCTACCAGCGTATTCGCAAGCAGTTTTACTCGTGTTTAAAAGTGCCTGCACGAAAACCCTGCTGTACGCTGGCGTTTGCTAGATCGACACCTACCCTTTCCTACTCCCTCGAGACGCTGGCGTTCGCTGAATCGATATCTATACTTTCCTAGTAACTGGCGTTGGCGTACGCTCGAAACCTGGTGGTCGCTGGTGTACGCTGACGTGAAGTATGAACGTAGCCTTAGGTTGTTGTGAAGCTGATTTGGAAACGCGGAACTTTGTACGCTAACGAAAAAAAAGAAATATGATTCCTTCGAGCTTACGATGATTGAAGCACTAACGACAGTCTTTTGAAACATTATAGGAGAAAGTTGGACAATCCAACGAATCGGTAGAATCTACGGAATTTAAAGAAAAAGGCAAAGAAGAAACTCAGGGGAAGGAGTACGATGATGGCGCCGAAGTTTGGCAAGAAAGGACAAAGTGTTAGTTTCTTTCTCAGAACATTTAGAAAAAAAGCCCAAAGCTGCTCGCTAACGTGCAACGTTTTTAGGCAGAGCAGCGGAAGAAATCGATATTACGACGACTAAGAAGCACGCAATAGGACTGCGGCAATTCATAGTTCAATTTTTGTGAATCCACTCTTAAAAGCATCAAAATCAAAATCGCCTGTCAAACTGTGTAAATTCATAATAAGGGTGTCTATTGTATAAATTTGTTGATATGATTTATCTATTTCTTTATTTGATGCACTCACTGGCGCGCTCATTACAAATCTCCGGCAGCGTATACACCATTTTCATTTTACAGTCCTCATCACTGCGGACCGGTGGGGCGTGTCAGTGCGGCGTTTGGCGCGGTGCCAAAGTCGTTCTGCACCCAGGGTACGCCATCGTTGTGATCATCACAAGGGTGGGGCCGTATTTGACCGCGAGGGAGGGGGGGTCGTATTTGGTCAGAGAAAAATTT